GGGGTAGTGGCAAGTCAGAAAAACCTTGCAAGATGTAATCCACACTTTTCTTAGCACATTGATAATTTTCACTGATCCCATTGAATTTCCCGCTGTATTTGGTGCACATCTGTGGCACCCTATCGTCATATTTCTTGGTTAGTGTAACTATGATGTAGTTCTCGATAGAGCTTATTCGGTTTGTGGATGAGCTTAACATCCCGCCCAAATCCATAGTCGTTGGTATAACGGGGTACACATTTTTCGTTGAACGCAGATAGTTCCAATAGGTTCCCTTTACGGTAATGTGATCGCACTGGGTACATCGGAAGGCATAGTCGTAGTGGGTACAAAGAGTTTGCCATTGTGTAAAGTCCTGTATTCCATAACGGTTAGTATCGTCGGTAGGGAACATTAACTTTGAAATCCATATGCTAAGCTTGTTGGCAGCTGGGCGACTTCTGAAAATATCGAAGATCAATGATTTAACCCAATCCTTTTCTTCATATTTAGACGTCCCAGGGTTGAGATGGCGATTGAACATCTCGATCTCTGATGTATTATCGAGGTTGTTAAGGTAACTCTCCAAAAATACTATTTTCTTAGGGAGAAAATTAGTTTCTAAGAAACCTAATCCATCGGAGTAATTGATATCGTGTAAGATTTGGACATTACAATGCTCAACCTTGTCCAGAAAACTGTTTGGAATGGTAATCCTATACTTTAGATTTTGAGAGAAAACTAACACAAAGAAAAAAGGGAATGAAAATAGCACAAAGCTGGGAACGATGAACATTATACTGTTTTCAAATGCTGCTGAGATATGAAAAATTTGGGAATCAAGATATTTAATGCGTATTGGGGCAAATGCGAAGGATTTTGTGTCTATTCCTATATTTAAATCGCTTCGTGTTTTCATTATCTTCAAGATATACATAACTCCTAAAGTGTTTTCCAAATTAATTAGCCTTAAGTTTTTCTTGTCTTGAAATGGCTTTCCGTTGCGTGTAAACATGTTATGTTTGGACTTGTAGACTGTTTGCACGTAAAGCTTCAAACCAGGACTACTTACAATGCGATGGTGCGAAGTGTAACTCGCATATTTGTTTGAAATTTGGAAATTATGTGGTCCAAGTCAACACAACCAACACTTCTTAAGGCAGTGCTTTCGATGCTCAGAATGTCTCAAAATATTTTGGATAAAAATTCAAAAATTGACGATATTTCCCTTCCAAGAGAGTGGGAATGGGGTTTCCTTCCTCCGCATGGTAAGAATCACCCACTATTTTTAACCTTGACCTCCGATATTTTAACAAACCCTGACCATCGCATAAACTGCCTTAGGAAACGGTGCCTGTGCTGACTTGGACCACACAATTTTACAATTTCAACCAAATCGGATGGTTACACTTCACACCATCGCCTTTTTAGGTATGTAAAACCATGCAGTGTTGCTCACGGGACGAAACGATCCGTCTCGATCTCGCCTTTTCTCTATCATTTTTAGATCGGTCAAACGTTTTAGGCGAAACACAATTAACACTTAGACTGTACGGAAGATACCCAGTGCGAATTTTACTAATCATATATTAGGTGTTTGTCGGTTACAAACATGGACAAACTCGTTATTTGCCGTAAAGTTTTGAGTTTCGAACGACCAATATGAATATACACGATTATTTGTTCCTTCCTATAGATGTGTTGACTTACTTCGTGTTCCTCAAACTAATTAAAAGTGCTCTGGACGATGCCTCTGGAACGAGTTACGAAGCATAGAAACTTTAGAAACGAAGTCACGCTATAACCATTATAAATATTTCGGTCACGCTACGAACTCTCATAAATGTGCACTTATGTAAATTATACTTTCTAGTTACTTATCAGTCTCTGCCATCATTAAATTAGAAAAGTCAAACGCAAATGTCACGAAATGTAAAAAAAGCTTATCCAACGCCATGTACAGAAAAGAGGTTATGGTTTACGTAAATTTACCTTTTAATCATGTAGACGCTTTTTCATCAAATGTGAATTTTCTCAGAACGGTAAGAGAGATTCTTCTAAATCCTACAAAACTATATGGAACACCAATTCCAACCTAAATACATAGATATAATCCAATCAGCTTTTCAATAGCCGTTTAAACGACAAAATTGCTCATTGCTCAAAATGTGTACCACAAAACCTACTTTCTATTTTTCAGTGTTTATAATTCTTATCGTAAAATATGCTCGTGCCAACAAACCAACCCCAGTTTCAAACTTGACAGATTTGTTAGTCAACCTGTGTGATTGTGATTTGCAGCTAATTCATTGGGGTGACCATGACACCCAGTTTTCCTTTAGTGGTGTGAACTTGGTATCCACTACAATTTTCATGCCATATTTTGACGCATTGAAGATATCCCTACTGTACGACTTTGTGGACAATCAAGCGGACGAGTGTCCCGTAATGGACATTTTGAGATCCCGTGTCTCGTCATGTAGATTGAGTTTCATTTTTCTTCCTACAAGACACAAGAGCTCTCTGCACACAGTGCGCGACCAGGCATTTCGCTCTATCACAATATCTACAATGTTTCACCTATTTTACGAAGTGATACGAAGCAGGAACAAATATATATACATGCTAAATAAAAATGCATTTATTAACATAGTCACAATCATCCCCAAGATGGATTCTCTTCACAACTTGCCATATAATCCATTCAACCAACCAGACTACTATTATTTTTCGTTACTTATAGCCAACCACAGACAAAACCTTGAACTATGTTTCATCCCAGTGCCTAATCTCCGTGAATCCTACGCGGGAAGGGTGAGATGTGTCACGCAAATTTACTGGGAGGAAGGAAACTTTGTCTCCCTCGTTGCAAACTTGGCATTGCACGGGCAAATATTGTGTACTTCAGAACCTAAATGGAAGCTGAATAGCTTGGCCGTTGAAGCAATTAAGACATTAAGGAAGTCCGTCAAACAATTAACCATGGATATATTTGCCAAGGGAAACAGAAGCTGTCGTTTAACCGGTAGTTTGGTACAACTAAGAGTAACAAATTTAAACCACAACAGAAATCACGAAGAAATTTTCACAAGATTTGATGGATACCAGTTCCTAACGTGCTATGTTGAGCCATATATTTCGCTCTACTTCTTTCTTGCCCCCTTCCAGCCTGAACTCTGGGCTTGTTTGGCCATATCAGTTGTCACAATCGTCACAGTAATGACAATAGTTTATCATTCCAGAAGTGAGAAAGAACCTTTCTCAGTATGGCTGTTCATTTTAGCCACCCTCTTCGAAGAGACAGGTTATTTGCCGAGAAAAATGGAAAAAACTACGTTTTGCCGACTATCGTTAGGAATATGGTGTCTCATGTCTGTAATTTTGACAAACGGATACAACGGAATTATGATCTTGGAACTTAATGCGCCACGTAAAGTATTCCATCCAGATAATTTTGACCAGCTACGTTGCCTTAACCAATTTGACGACACTGTAAAAATGATCAACAAATATGGTTGGATTAATCCTAACGAAGTTGAGAAAACAGAAGCAGACCCTCACATTATAATAGGGTATCAAGCTTATTGGAGATTTTATGATGAAATCCAAAAGATTTGGACGCAAACGCCAGACCGGATAGTGGACCTTAACACTACCAACGTAAGGTACAAATGTTACCAATTGCTGTCAGCATTCAATGCCAACACTGGATATGATAATTTACCCGAATTTTTATCACTTTTGCTAAAATTAGCATTTGAACTATTGGATCTTCGTGACGAAAATCCACAAAAAAATATTTCGCAAAAGATGCACAGAGATTTAAATCTGTTTAATTCAAAGCATTCTTTTTATCCCAGAGGGTTTAGCTATTTGACAGGTAGTATAAACTACTCAGTACAAGAGGGAAAAATTGAAAATGAAGTTGTGCAATGTGGAAAGACGGTATTCGTTGGAAAGTCCACGGAGCTTAAGATCGAGTATGAATTCTTATCAAGAAAATATCCCAAGACAAAATTTTTTACGAGTTCCGAAGCCATTCAAACCTACCCGAGTGGTGTAGTATTTAAAACCCCATGGAAATCTTTGGCTCTGATTCGATTTAAGATTGTCTTAGAAGCTGGGATTTGGGGCCATGAAGATTTGGGAAGACGAGGAACTAAGGCAGAGAAACCTTAATCGCACAGCTCCCGTGAAGAAATTAGGTAATCGCACCCCTACGAATACTGCTACACTTGGTGGATCATTTGTTACAGTTTTCATCGGGAAGTTTGCTGTTGGTGACACTTTTAATATTTGTGGTAGAATGTCGAGCTAAGCTCGGTTTATTTATTGGGAGCATTCATCGTCGATGTATGAGGAGTTACCAGAAGTTTTAGAAACTTGTTGCAAAGGCTGTTGTAAAAAGTACACTTAGCGTTGTGAAGTTTGACGTCAATAGTTAAAAAAAGTATTGTAATAGTTATAATTTATAACTATTTTTGGAATATTCTGCGATTCGTGCAACTAAACTACTTATTAATTACATAAACATACTATCATTTAAATAACTTCAATTATTGCTATAGCATGCTTGTTAAAACTCATCGTACAAAGACACATTCCCGCAAGGACCATGTAGCGGAATACCCTAGCCGGGTTGCATTATTATCCCCTGAATTTTAAATGAAGCTCGCGTATTTCAATATTTACAAATCTTTACCTATGTATTGCATCACAAATTTTATTTGGTTTGCTTTTTGTGCACCATTCATTTTTGAGACAGCCATTGTAAATTATTGCGCTTATCACCATGGATTTACAACGGATTAGAAAAAATCCGGCAACTTGCCAGTAACAAATTCAAACCTCGTTAAACGTACTTATGTATTTATTACTCTGTTTGTGAATTTAAACTGTACGGCTATTAAACTGCCGCACTATACATATTTATTATTTATGTATGACTAGTGTATAAGCCCGTCTCCCGCCAGGCGACGGGCTTATTTGATTTTGTGAAAATTAAGTATGATTGTTCATAATTCCACCGAGTTATTTTTTTATTGTATCTATATTGTTAGCCGGAAACGTCTGTTGGCAAGGAAATGAAACTTTCTCCACTTTTACTTCCGTCACGGAAAATTACTTTCACTTCCGTTGCAGACAAACATTTCCAGCTTATAATATAAATTACAAGTATTTAATGATTTTGATTTTACAATATTACTTCACATCATGGTAGTACACTACTCATTTGTAACTTACAAATAACTACACTGAGGTCTGCAAGAACGTAGGAAGTTATAGCCCAAAGCGCAATATTCCTGTCCAGTTCGTCCGAGTCAAGAACGTTGAGCATATCAGCTGGAGAATGATGGAAATAGAAATATTTTTCATCCGCCGTTTTCAAACTAATGCCAGGCACTCCTTCCAAAATCATAACAGCAATATCCGACCCAACTGTCTCATAACGAGCATAGTTCGTAGAATTCATGGCTGAGGTCAATTTAAGAATTTCTTGAATTATGCAGCCAGCACCTTCCGTCCCTGCGAATTCTAATCCGAGAGAGAAAAAATTACCACTATCCGATTCCAAAACTGCCTTGTAATTCATCATCTCCTCCTTATGAAGGGCAACAAAAGCCCGTGCCCCAACCAAGCCAAATTCTGAAATCAACATAATTATGTTAACTCCCCGATGTAGGTAGAAACCCAAATGAAATTCGGGCTTTCCCATCTGTTTATAGAGCTTGGAGCAGGCGTCTTACCTTCTGCAGTCCACTAAGGAAAACAATGCTCAATTTATTTCTGTCTTACATCATTCATACAAAAACCTACCAAAATTGCTTGCATAGTTCTTTTAGGAGTCAGACCAAGATATTTTATCAGGGCAAGGGCTTCAACGGAGACAAAGACTCCTCCAGCATCATCCATTGCTCCTTGACCCTGGTCCCAAGCATCGATGTGTCCAGACACGACCACGATTTCCTCGGGATTTAAACTTCCAGTAATTTCACCGATGGCGTTACGGGACGTAACGCGACTTAACTCCTCGTCCATCATGGTCAAGTTAAGAACCATACTTTCTCTTGTTAGTCATTTTCGTAGGTATTATTTGTTGCCTTTTAATCATAAATTTACTGATTTCTTTAGCTCACCTCGACTATAAACACGAAACAAGAATTCGGCGTCTTCCCGAGTAATACAGGCTGCTGGGATTCTTGGGTACGTGGATCCGTAGTAAATACCGCCTAAGAAAATAGGTATCGTAAAAAGTTATTTGCTGAGACTAATGCAGTCCATATCATAATTTATTACCAGTGTGGACTGTGTATAGAGAGTAAGGCGTTGCGCTTTCTATCAAAGCGGCGACGGCGCCATACGCCGAAGCTCGCGTGGGACCATTACCACGGTACTGTGATGTTTCCACATAGCTGCCCAGCCATCCTTGATTGTACACCACAATTTTCCCTAGGATCTCATCCTTCTTTTCGTCTAATTCATCAAACGAGCGGACAACAATGACTTCACTGCTGATCCCTCCAATTGGCGTTCCTACGGATGGTCCTACACCAAGAATGCTGATTGTTTTGACCACAGGCTCCACCAAAGTTGCTTTCTCCTCTCCCCTATTTCATTGGTTAAAAATATTTTTTTCAAAAATATCATAAATTTTGCATAAAACCTTTTACCGAATCCATCTTGGAACTTGTACATCTTCGCCTCGCACGTTGTCTAGGCCAGCAGCAATCATTTTCTCCATCATGTAATCAATGGATTCCTCAAGCTCTGGAGTTCCCGATAAGCGATTGACATACTTGTCCACAAATGTAGTTACCCCTTCGAACGTACGTCCCTTCCAGGCTCCAGAAATTGCGGCGTTCATAATCTCATCCGCTATTGGCTGATAGTTTTGAATTTCTGTGATTAGAAAAGATGGAAGGTTGCATGGCCCCTGCTGTAAAGATGGATTCCTGTTTTTCTGTGTTGTTATGGGCCAAATCTCAGAGCAGAAGCAGAGTAAAAAGAAAATATGGAAAATTTGGGTCGCTATGTTAGACATTGCTAATTGAATGATTTATCTCCCACCAGATTCGTAATATGTTTATATACGTACGAATGTACGTTTTGGTATGTTTGTCCTGTGGTCAATTCTAAAGTCAAACTGTTTTCGCATACTGCAGATGGAATGTTAATTGAGTTGAAATTTTTTATCTTATCAAAATATTGTCAGATGTGGGGAATGGGTGAAGATGACGATGGTGGTGGATCGATGCGAATAATACCACTCTCGTTGGGATGCCAATCAGTACTATCTCAGATAGTCTATCTGTATGCATTATGCAGGGTGTGCACTGCACACATTCAGCTTACATTCCCCAAAAAACAATTTGGTCACAATTTGTTTGCTGAATTATTGTAATTACTAGTTAACTAGATAGTACAAGTAAAATCTGTGAGTATCTGTATTAAAAGTTTTAATACTAACAATAATAATTTTATTAAGTTGTGGGTAGTTTTAAATTAAAACTACCCAAAACTCGATAAGCTCACTCAGCTGATACACCCTGTCACTTAATTCTAGTACGTATTTATATGATGTTGAAAACTTGAACAGGGAAATGGGCTCATTGTAGGCAACATTTATTTCTGCATGCGAGCTCATATGTATAAACGTGCTGTGTATGTAGTAAAATGATGATGATGATAAAAAACTTATCCATCTCTTTAATCTTGTGTAAATATCTCTTCGATAGCATACCAAAGAAATGAAGAACTGCCAATTGTGCATATTATACGTATTATCACCTGAATTTTAATCCTAGTGCACACTCATATATGGTTATCAAGGTGCTTATTCCAATAAAATCGCAGTTTCGAAAAACTAATAAAAGTTGAAATACCGCCCAAAATACATACTTGCACGCCTAATATCACGCACACCCAAGGAAGGCGCCATGAAAAGTGAAAAATAATAAAATTTTCGCACTTTTCATTCCAACCACACGGTCAGCGGGTTATTGGAGATCAAGGGAATGTAGGTTTCTGAACCCTGCACCCTTAAAAACTCAATAAAAATGAGTGCCAAATAAATAAACCGTCGAAACGCACATAAGGAAGTAGCTTCAGTCTACTTCACCCTAACTACTCCCACGACATCTCGGGAACACTCGATTTCGCTGTATTTCATCTATAAATTCAATTTTTGTAAAAATCTCATTTTGTGCCAACTACACCCTCTGGCGACGAGGGGGTGTGGCACAACGCGGGAACACTAAATTTCACTCTATTTCATCTGTGGATTCAATTTTAGTAAAAATCTCATTTTACCCCGACCGCACCCCCTGACTCCAGGAGGAGTGGTGCCATTGACCCCAAAAGTTGATAGGATCCTCCCCCTGGGAATGTCGAAAGCCAATTTCGATTATCTCGATCCGTTCTCCCGTTATCCTGCTTACGGACGGACAGACAGACGGACAAAGTCTTCGCATAAAGTAGCTGAAGCTACTTAATAACCTGACTGGGGTTCGAACCCACGAAGCGCCATTTTTATAATACGCATGCTGTGCAACGGCTCTGGATATACTCATCATCATCATTTACATAAGTTTCCCATCTATTGCGGTGCATCGAAGTCAACCGGATAGATTTGATTTGAATTTCGGCCCGCCTCCAATGTTAATTAAATGGGCACGTGATTTTGGCGCGTAGAAATTCTGTCCGGTTGACTTCGATCCACCGCAATAAGCACCTGGACCCATTCAAAGGCAGTCTATACTACGTATTTATGTTTAATCCATAAATCCTATAACGCTATTACACACATGCTGCTCAACACATAACATAATAACGCCAATATGTGGGGAATAGCAATAAATTAAATAGAAATTAAAGTATTTCAATCACAACGGTCCACGTAGCTCTGTTCACTGACGTCCACATCACCAAATAATTTATGAAAGGATGCCATTTGTACAGTATTTATCGTTGAGATCATCTGCCCCCCATTATATCCTACCCCACCCATTTTCACTTTCTTCTTGCAAATTAAACCAAAATGGATACCCCGTTTTGCGTCGTAGTGCAACATAAGAGTTACTGTTTATTTACGCAAAATTAGTCAAATAATAAATTCTCAAAAAACGAATCAATACATAAAATCTTGAGGACCAAGTACGTCATATCACGTATTTGAAAATAATGCAAATTTCTCAAATTTTCTCAAAATGCGAGTGCTTCTTTGGTATTTTGTGGAAAACTCGATGGTAAAAAGTTGACTTTTTTGGTTATTTAGTTCACAAATTCTGGAATTTTCCCTATACTGACCAATGTTAAAAACCTACAGTGCAGACTTTATATAGCCCGAGTCAGGCCTAGTTGTGATTATCACTCTCATTCGACTTTTTTGCATGAAATTTTATCGTAAATGCACATGAACATATTAAAAGATATAGTGATATCCACTGGTCACCAGTATTGACCATGACCATAACTTTTTAACGAGCGAATAGTTTTTCCTAAAACTCTCAGAATATTACCCTACTAATATTCGACGTAACATAAGTAAATTCCAGCCACGCGGGTGGCTAGGTTATACTTTTGTTGGTGCACACATATTTTCACTCAATTCGACTTTTGCATGACATTTTATCGTAAATGCATTTCAAAAAATTTAAAATTTAGATTAATTTTTCCAATTTAAATTCACATTCTTCTATTTGTAATGATTGGCAGGCTATTTAACAAATTCAGCTCGATAAGAGAATTTCAAAAAATCGGTATGGGGCGCCCATTAAGGTCCTTCAGATGAATTTTTTTCTTGTTTTACTTCATATTGTTTCAGTAGGAGCTATTACCAACTTGTCTATCAAATTTCAGCTCAATTTGACGAATTTGAAAAATTGGTATGGGTCACCCCATAGTGTCTGTTCATGTGAAAATGTGTTGAATTTCAATTCATATTCTTCCAGTAGGACCCATTAACAACCTCTGTACAAAATTTCAGCTCAATTGGAACCTGTTCAAAATTTCATTTTATAAATTTCTGACTCGGGAATGATACAGTTTGTCAATTAATTTCGGACGTATTCCTAAAAACTAACCTAATATAGTCGTGTGCTCTACTATCACTTTTTAAAATCTCGTAAAATCATTCAAATAATAAATTCGTTGTTCCACTGATTTTAAGAGATTTTATATATTGATTAGTTTTTGAGAATTTATTGTTAGGCTGATTTTACGAGATTTTATGTATTGATTCGTTTTTTGAGAATTTATTATTTGACTAATTTTGCGTAAATAAACAGTAACTCTTATGTTGCACTACGACGCAAAACGGGGTATCCATTTTGGTTTAATTTGCAAGAAGAAAGTGAAAACGGGTGGGGTAGGATATAATGGGGGGCAGATCATCTCGGGTAGCATATAATGGGGGGCAGATGATCTCGGGTAGCATATAATGGGGGGCAGATGATCTCGGGTAGCATATAATGGGTAGCATTTCATGGGTAGCAGATCATCACGGGTAGCATATAATGGGTAGCATTTCATGGGTAGCTTGTAATGGGGGGCAAAGATCCGCACACCGTTGTGATTTGGGGTATCAAATGTCCGGAGAAACCCTAATGTGTATGTAGCAACTTAGCTACATACACATACATTTGTGTAAAGATCTTCATAAACAAATATTTATTCATTTATTCGTGCAGTGTAATTTATTGAAATTAATTCCACAAAATTATTCAACTTGATACATATCTGTCGTTCAACGTTTTACAATTAATTTCCAGAATCCAAGAGGAACCATTAACCGATCAAATTTACACTGGATTTGGGACATCTGAAAGCATTTCGAAATCACGGTGAATTAAAATTCCTCCATCAATCAATAATATCTACACATGTAGACTTACATGCAACGAATTTTGCAAAAAATCCTTTTCCTCCTCCATTTCCGAATGTGATAAAGCTTACAAACAGTTTGTTACTTTTGGACAAGTATCGAGGAGGAATTTCGTTTCCAGAATAACTCTGTTCAAGTGGACTGTCCGCAGAATTTCCATTCCTAATCTGTGGAGTGGAGATATTTAACATATTTATCCACTCCGGCACACATATGTACAGGGTGGTTTATGTAAATGTCAGGCTACAAAGGAAAATTTTTTAAGGAGAAACACCCCTAAATCTCCAATAGTTATAAGATTTGGGATCGAAATTTTTATTAATTATTATGAAAACTGATGGCAAAATTTTTAAAATATTGAATTTGAGAGAAAAAATGTCGCTAACTAATGGAAATTTACTAATTTTTCCCATTGAAAAATTTTCCTTTGTAGCGTGACATTTAAACCACACTGTACTTCGCAATTACCGATACAACGTCTGACGGCGCAGTGTCGAAATCTTTAAAGTCAAGTAAGACCAAATTTGTCAACGGAACTTCAATTATCCATTGTTCAAGGGCCCAGTTGGAATAATTTGAAGGGTAGTTTTTAGAATGGATTTCACATCCATCCTTGTCTTCATATTTTGTAATCATATTTTGCAAAATTTGATTGAAAACCCCGACTACATATTGCTTAAATTTGCTACACCAAAACCCACCAAAACTCGCAATACCCCAAAAACCCGGGGTAGCATACCCCGTCTTGTAGATATTGTGCTCATACCATGACACGCATTAAAAAGAGAGATGGGAGTCTAGAAAATCGGGATTTTTAAATGAAAAAATTTATGAAGGTTCCATAAATCCTTGCACCATCCATTACCGTCAAGCGAGAACGAACTGAAGAACTATATCCTTGTAAGTCTAAGAGATCGAAATGAAGGAAAACTTTCCCTCCTTCGTTTCCCGCATGCAGGTAATAACTCTTGTTGGCTCCTGTCGGGAACGGGGAGGGGAACCCGGGGTAACCTGGAATATAGAACTTGCAATGGAACCTTTTCTCAAGCTATACCGGGATCGAGTAGCGAGTTATGTCAGAAAATCGAGCTAAAAATTAGGAGTCACTTGACACTTCTCTTTCCGTTGAATGGCCCCTTTGAAGAAAAATATTGTCGGTTAAGTTCAATTTTTGATCAAATTTTCTCTTGCTTTTTCCTCCACGGGGGGAAAACCAAGGAGGAGTGCGAACTCTGACCCCCAATATTTTTATTCAAAGGGGCCATTCAACGGAAAGATAAGTGTCACGTGACTCCTAATTTTTAGCTTGATTTTTTGACATAACTCGCAAGTCGATCCCGGTGTAGCTTGAAAAAAGGTGTTAATAGATTGCATCAAATATTTTAGGTTATGATTGCCGCGTACCTTCATCTGCGAATATCTCGGCAGTAAGGATGTGTAGCGTCAGTACAGATAATAAGGTAAATTTGCCCATTCTGATGTTTAATGAGCAACAGCAACAGCCTACAGTATAATCTCCGATAGCCCGATTCAGATTATTATAAGTCACCATACCCGTCACTAATTCTCTTGAAATTTTGAAATTGTCACTAATACTTATTTCAAATGCTAATATTGAATTTGGTAAGAAGCCTTTGCACATTGTGAGGCTACTAACCATGGAGGTCTCCCAAAGGATGCTCACAGATTTGGGCCAAACTAGCGTCAATCAATCACGAATATGATTAGTATAGAATTTGCAAATGGCAATATCTGCCAATGTTCAAGTTTAGCGGAGATATTTGTAAAAAAAACGGAGAAAACGCACCCGTAAGGCTGGCAAATTTTTAATTTTCTAAATTTGCTGCCAATTTTTCCCGCTATGGATGCAAATATGTCCGCGCAACCTGTGCATTCGCAGATATTTAGTTCCATTTACAAATTTTATACTAATTATATTTGTGATCGATTGACGCTAGCTTGATCCAAATCTGTGAGCATACTGTAACCCGTACCACACCAGTGATACGGGTCTCAATCCGACCCACCAGGGGAGAAATCTATCCTTCCTGCCATCTGGCATTAACCGGAAGATTTTTCTCCCACTGGTGAGGATAACGAGGCAACCTTGCCTTCGTCTCACTTCTTCTTTTCCTCCTTCTTTTTCTCTCTTTGGAAAGTGATTCAGTCTAATACCTCCTTATGAGCAACATCTTTATTTTTGGGTTCTTCTTCATTAATATTTTATAGCGTGTAAAATAATTCATATTCCAGCTTTAAATAAATATTTATTATTTAAGAGAACCCCCTTTGTGTTGCCTTCAGTCATTTAACTGTTCCTAACCGAAAAGATAGGGTGACCTCCCCCAGGAGGTTAGAAATAGGTCGCGAAAAGGACGTATGTACATGTGAGAGGGATTATATCAAGTTTTACATCATCTCCTCTTCCCATTATAACATAATACTTATCGCATTACAATACGTTGGAAACCTCCATTGTGAGTTGGGATGCGTAGTACTGAAGCTTAGACTGTCTTGATGATGTTTGGAAATTATCAGTATTTGGTAAATGCATATCTGCATGAAAAATTGTAACGACGTGTGTTATCCATCAAACCGAACATCATATTGTGTTTGTCGTTTCAAAATTAGTAAAAAATGACATGTGTGATGTGTTTTAAACAATATTAACAAATATCTCAAATTTAACGATTGATTACCTTTTTGTAACATTCAAGTGACCTTTCGTTGCATTTTAGGTCAAAATGGAGGTCACCATTGAATTCGGGGTTAAATTTCAGTTTATATTGATACACGTATCATATTATACGGTTGGTGATCTTTCAGTGACCTCTAAGCGACCTTTCGTGACCTTTGAAGTCGAGATGGAGGTCAGCACTGCATTCAAAGTTAAACTTCAGTTCAAATTGACATATGTATGCAATTTCTTTGAGTGATATTTCATGACATTTTGACCTTGAATGGTGTGACCTACAGTGCCCGTCTTCGAACTCGTACTATCCTTTAACATTAGGAGTTTACCTTCTAAATTTCAAATCTCTATGTCTTTTCGTTCAAAAGTTATTGGACAAACGGACAGACGGAAGGACGGACAGACGGAAGGACGGACAGACGGAAGGACGGACAGACGGAAGGACGGACAGACGGAAGGACGGACAGACGGAAGGACGGACAGACGGAAGGACGGACAGACGGACGGACACGGATAGACGGACAGACGGACGGACGGACGGATAGACGGACAGACGGTCGGACGGACATAGCGATCTATAAATGGCTTTCACCCGTTAATAAGAAAAAAGTTTTTTTCAAATTAACAGGCTGAACATGGCGGTGACAAAAGGTCTGACTCGGGCTAAAAGATCCGGTTGAAATATTTTACTCGTATTCACTTCAAGTCCTGTGCAAGAATGGAAGCTGAACTAAACCACCTCTGTATTTATGAGAAGTATTATCTTATCATTGACATGAAATTACGAAACCAACGACTAATGCATCACTAATAGATTAAGAGATTATTTATTTCAGGATTAAATCAGCAAATTTGCCCTTAATCCCAACCAGATAATTCTCGGCTTATGTATGTATAATGAACATGACTAAATTTCCATTCTATGTACTTGTACCAGAGCGATTTATTATGTCTGCTATGCTTCCGTTGAGGATTAACTATACACTCTTAATAATCCGGTAAAATCATGCAAAAAATGATTTATCTCTAATAAGTTTGGTACTAATGTTTTACCAGGTAGTAAAAATTCGTTACCATGATGGTTAAACTTTATGACCAAGCCATTACCACGCGGTACAACTTATCATTACCACTTTGGTAGAGTCATAAACTTTTGGTGCTTTTCGGTAATGTTTATTACCAGATTATTTACAGTGCATTATACAGTCATTTGTATGAAACAGTTTCATACACGACTACATACAGGATTAAGTTTGATTTAATTGAAACCAAAGTCCGGACCCGTGGCGAGAATGAAATAATGCTTCGCGAATAACATTCCCTCCACGTGTCGAGCCTAGCTTAACTTATTTATCATTATAACGCCGTCAGGAACTTTATCTTGGATTAGCGAACAATTTTACTGCTCTCAATTGTACACACAAATGTAATCCCATAATGCAGCTTTTGGGCCCATTTGAAGAATTACGGGAACTTGATTATCTCGAATTTGTTTTAATCAAGAACAAAGATCGACGCCACCGACGCCGGTACTATTTTACGTGCCGCCGAGAAAAATTCTCCGCGCGTCGCGGCCGACGCCGTAGCCGGAAAAAAAATGTCGTCAATTTTAATTTGGCCTGAATACTTATATATATAGATTTTGGTATAATTATGATTACAAAAGCCTAATTTTAACAATATTTTCAGTCCCAAACTAGAGTTTACATTTGATGATCTTCCCGTTTATGACAAGTACAAAATATTAGCATAATATTTTAATTTTTTTGAAAAATAGGACAAATTTTCGATTTTGATCACCTTAATTTTGAAGTAATTAATTTTCTGAAAATACGTTAGGAGTATTTTGGCGTTACCTTAATTTCGCGTTTTCCTTTGAAGCATTTATTAGCGTTTATTTTATCACGAAAGTGGGATATTATACCCGAAATGACTTGTAAAAAATTCTCAAATTTGATTATAAAAATACACATGTACGAGGGGCCATTTTTATTTAGATGGCCTGACCATGAAGGAGCAATGAATTTGTGGTACTTGGCATACTACTTTTCCGTGTAGTCCCCTACGAACTCAGCTTACTTGGTCCGCTAAATTTCAAATACTTTACCCCGGTTTTATGAAGGGTTTTCGAAAAAAAGTCAGAACTGCTGATTTCACCTGGTCTATCGTCGAAATCTCCTCCCCCTGAGGTTTTTTTGAGAATATCGAAATACACTAGGGTCACTAGAGGCCAGGACTGGACTGTAAGGGGGATGAAATAATTTTGGCATGTTTTGGCTTAAAATAGCACCCTTCGAAACTTTGGATTTTTTTACTGGAAAGTCGTCCTGAAGTTTTCGTAAGCCACGCGATTTTTGTTTTTGTCGTTTCTCCACAACGGCTTGGATTAATTTTTCGAAATCGCAGTATAATAAGCACCAGGTATCGCCGTTTTCAGAGCCGCAACGACCAGAAGCAGAAGTCCTTCTGACTCCCAAAAACGGAGGCTATTATCAAAATGGCTATTTCTGCTTCACTTTTCCTCCTTTATGGATGAATTCTTCCACTGCATGCTCTCTAACTTACTATCAGTGCCATAAAATTGAAGTTTGGATCATTCCCCAGTGACTCAATGGAAAAAAGAAGTACTAGTTTCCGTTTTGAAGGTCTAAATCTACGTCCCAAACCTGAACTCAATTTTAGCGATTTCGCATGTGTCGCGGTTTTTGGTCACATCTGACGACCTCCTCGAGTCAACCGTGACCGTGAAATTTTAAGCTATGAAGTCTGAGTTACATATGTATGGGTATATCTTTCACACCAACTATAAAAGTTAGACAAAATGACCCTCCTTCAAGGTCAGGCCATCTAAATAAAAATGGCCCCTCGTATGCATGTATATTAAAATTTCCACAATTTTCGGGTTGAAGCCTTTACTAATTAAACAATTGATCTCTTGATCTTCAATTGTTAAATTACGAAGATTGAAAAATACAAGCTTTTAAGACGTCCTAATAATATTCCAAGCAATGATTTGAAGTGGTGCCATAATTCATAATCAAAAAAACTTGCAGCGTTATAAAATAGGTGAATTTTAATTAGATGTTGTTTAACTGATGTATACCCTGTCCCAGAGTAAGTTAGACAATGATCCAAGACCTGTACGGTTCGACCTGGTTAGAAGATTTTTATAAAATCTTTCAAAAAGTGTAGGTGGGGACCCCACCCGCCTGTTTTTATTCAAAAGTATTTGTCTAATTCCATACTTAATCACCAATCTGAATTTCCCCGGTAACCCTCGAATTTGTGATGTTCCACCCTTTTCCGAAATGTCCAGGCTAATTTTTCACCATTAACGGTCGAATTTTTCCAAGTTTTTCGCCTAGAAGCGAAGGTTAGAGTATGTTCTTTTGCACAAAGTCCAAAATTCATACATTATTCATAAATAAGGGATATTTGTTGGGTTGGTTGTTTTAAGGGTATGTTACTCAATGTTGACCGTCGCATGATTAATTAGGAATTTTGCAGAGGATTTAGTTTGCAGATACAACTTTTGTTAATAATCTATACTGGCAGGAGTGCCTGCGTAAAAAATGTGTTTCCCGAAGCCTTTAAGGGATTAGGGCCGACGTAGGTCTCATCATCAGTGATGATAATTTTTAATGACATTTATCGACACATTTTTTTGCAAAATTTTTGGACAGTAATTTTTTGGTCTTTAACGAACTTTGGGCAACTTAATTTGTTTTTTCTGTAATCCCCAGTTTATTAACTTTTAGGTTGCACAACAAACTTTTTGAAATTTTCAGTACCCGGGCAGCGTTACGATTTTACGTGGAGGAGTTGGTGGTGAATAAGTTTTTCATGACTTTCACTCTTTTGTTGGTGACTATGACGAGAGGTGGCCTAAAATTATTTTTGAATTTCGCTTTTTGGCATCCTAATACTTCGAAATATAAATGTAGATTTTCGTTTTGGGATATTCTGCCGTTTTAACGGACTGCCACATCTCTTTCGATTCACTTGGAGCGACGATTTTGTGTTGTGAAAAGCTCGATTCTAGAGGCTTTCATTTTGACCCTGATTTCTATTGAATTTTGTCATTTTAACAAAAAATGCTTTACACCTGCTGGTTGCCCATGAAATTGCGTTTCAAAAAATAATGTAGCTTAACAAAAATCTCCTCTAATTGCGCAGTACAGTTTAAAATACAACTGTCTAACTTACTCTGGGACATGCGTTATTTTAGAAAGAATAGGATATAAACCATTGAAAATGATGTTGTCAAATTCGGAGACGTAATAATTTTAACTTAAGTGGAGTCAATTATTGACCTATGGCGTAATCGGTGCATGGTCACTGTGACCTTTATCCTAAATGTACCCACAGGCAGACATAACGCTTTTATAATACATAAGAGATTTAAAACTATGATATGTAAAAACACATAAATGATTGCATACATAATTTTTCTACCGGGCAGCTTAGATTTTCCGAGCGAAAAAGTACAAAATTTAAAATTTATAAGCTCTTGAAGATACATTCAAAATTTTGCGCCGCCGCCAAAGAAAAATTGGCGCGGTACGGCGCCGCTACCGACAGTTAATAAAATTCAAACCGCCGCCGTCGACGGTACTATTGCGGGTGCTATTAATCTGTCATCTGTTAAAAAATAGACCTGGTCCATTTTTAATAGCATCAAAAACAATTGATACAAAAACGGTGTTAACAGACGGATGGGCGGACGGACAAGAGGAAGGACAACGCGTGATTTTGGGGTCTGTATGGCCACGGATATTTTTGCACTCGATTTGAACTTAACTATTGTCATCCTGGCGCACCTACTACTCGTGTAAGTCGAATGAAATAATAAACCCACTGGGGTATTCCACAGTTTTTTAACCAAAAATCTCAAAAGTAAATAAATAAACATAAACAATAAATACATTTGGCCTATATTTAAATATTTTGATTAGCCTATGAGATGATGGATTAGGATTAACTTTTGTGTCGACCTTATGTAAGTACCTTCATTTCCCTAATTGGTTGTATTCCGAGATCTGTAACCGTTTTCGAAAAAAATATTACCCCAGAAGGCGTCAAAAATTAAGTTGTCGAAATTTTCGTTAGTTTGATTAAAATTATAAATAGCATTTGAGGAGGCTTCGTCGGAATACATGGGTGTGGTTTATAAAAGCAGTTTATTCGAGCTTTCGATGCTAAACTCGCATCATCATCAGGAAAATGAGGAATTTTAACAATTTTTGGAATTATAAATAGCAGTTAAAAAAATATGCAAAGGCTGTTGGCTATGATGCAATAAATCAATTATTATTATACTTATATACATAAATCTTAGAATGATTGGCTTATGTAACTTAACTGCTACTCAACCAACAGTAAATCAATTGTCCAATTGATACACAAATCTATCATTACCAGAGGTGTCAAAGAATCAATGAAATTAGTCCCAAATCTTATCTTAATTGGACTGCAGGCTGTAACATCTTTCTTAAACGATTTACAAAGGTTCCCAGCCTTCACCCATTTCCTTTTTGAGAGAAAAGTTATTGAATTCTTGTTCAGGAGTGCGGGTAATGTTCCGATGCACACGATTCCGAAATACGTCTCTAAGCTGAGTAGAAGAAAGATGACATGGCCAAAATTATTGATCAGCGTGCCGGTCCGAATGTAAGTAGTGGCGAGGAAGGTGGAGAAAACATTGG